AACCATAGTTGACCGATAACGCTCGAGATGACCCTGTATACCGCTTGCACGGCCAGTGCAATTTGCGGGTGGATAAACACCTTGGTTGTAAGAACATTCTCCACAGCTGCCCCATTTGAATCCCCGAGTGAGTGAGTTTGTGGCCCACTTCCCAATTGGGAACGCCCCTCCAACCAACGTCCTTTACCCACAATCGACTGCCCACCTCCTCGTCCGTGTCAGGGTCCTGCAGGCCAAGGTCCCAGGACCGAAACATCTTGTCACTTGTTTAAGAGGTCTGCCGAAGAGTTGTTCGATGTCAGCTGCGAACGAGTTTCGGGTTCAAAGAAACGCTTGCCGGATGCCTAAGTGCTCTCCCAAGCGCAGTGTTGGCTGAAAGCTTGTCTCCCGCGCCGCTCAAAGAAAACAAGGTCATGACTCATGAAGCATCATCAGGAAGGATTGGCCCCACTAAGCGATGGTCAAGGTGAAAGCGATAGCAACGACCAAAAAGGAGAACAAAGCAGGAATGGTACTGCAAAAGTGCCTGAACCTGTCCAATACCGACCACCTGCAAAGGTCTACATGAAGATATTGATTCCGGAGTGAATGCCTTTCCAAAACATGGGTAGCGGAATGCACCGGCTTCCGATCGGCTGGGCTTTAGAAGCTGTTACGCCTTCACCACCAAGGCATCCCTGGAAAGGTGGGTGGCTCCCCTAGACTTCGAGGGAAACTTGGTGAGTCACCATGTCCCTTACAAATGGACCATAGACTACCGGACTGGACACGTTGACCGAGGCTCCTGCTAGAAGCAAACTGAATCCAGTGCCTTCGTGGGCTGACAAGTCGTCAAACGCGTGACGGCCCCTGTAGATCGGCACATGTACATCCTTGCCACTGAGCACTAGCCACCCACTGCACTGAGCTGCTTGATTGAACTGTCTAAAAATGTCCTGACCCCTACAAACGGCGGAGCTAAAGTCTTCCTTTTTCGCCATGATTCAATCCAGGGCTCCTCAGTCGTCCAGTTGCTTCAAACACGCAGAAAAATATATCTATATATCGTGTGTCGTGCAGAGTGCTCGGCAAACTCACAAGATCACCGTTTTGCACGGTCAACACACATGCCCCAGCACGAGGATGGGAGAATCTAGATTTTCCTAAAAGGAATTCTGCACATCAACAAAACCAAACAACCTGGTCAAATCTCAACGCATTGACGCAGCTTTCTTTGGGCAACTGCTGCTATTGTGTAGCCGCTCTCAATCCTCATCGACCCATTACCGTGTCGTCCATAACCAAGTTCAGCTGGGCCATGAAGCTTGTCAATACGCAGAGTCCTTAGAAGGCTTCGAACCAGCCAATCTCTTGACCTTCCAACTCCTAGTATAGGTGTGCTCAGGTAAGTCTAGGTGTCAAGGCGGAAAGAAAGGTCTCCTGGTCGTCGTCCTTGGGCGCAAAGGTCGTCGGCCTCAGGAAGAGCCAATCACAGCATCCAGTCGGCTGTCAACTGACATCCAAGCTGGCACTCACTTCCACCAATTCACATGAAACCTGACTGGGGCGGTCCTGGAAGACCATTTTCCTTTTTAAGGGACTCCCGGTCAGGTTCCATGTCAATTGTGAGAGGGTAGCATTTCAGGCCCCAGCCACTTCGAGGCTGGACATTCAGCCAAGATTCAGGTTGCTGCTCAGTCAAACAAAAGCAGGACATGTTTCACCCGGGTGGTTAGTGCTGCCTGTCGAGACTGGTGCTTGTGTTCCTTCTAAACAACATGTCTTGTGCAATGTTTATCATCCCAGCGCTGACAATAGTCGCGAGCCCAAAGCCAGTCCAAAGCCAACATGTCCGTTGTCTGCATATAGGTTATTAAATCGTTAAACCTTTGCCAGACTACTTAAACCACCCGTTAACTAGTATGGGTTTTCCAAAACCAACATCTCCCAATACTAAATTCAACTCAGACCATATTAAAACAATTCTGACCTCCCGGATCCGGATTTTCAGTCGTGTTTATTTGGGGACTCTCCAAAGCAACTTGAATTTCAACTAGTTTCAATTGCAAACTCAGGCGTTGAAGTGCAAGCTTAATTGTGCCTTTCAATTGTGTGTGTCTGTGTGTCTGTGTGTCTGTGTGTCTGTGTGTCTGCGTCTCTGCGTCTCTGCGTCTCTGTGTCTCTGCGTCTCTGCGTCTCTGTGTCTCTGTGTCTCTGTGTCTCTGTGTCTCTGTGTCTCTGTGTCTCTGTGTCTCTGTGTCTCTGTGTCTCTGTGTCTCTGTGTCTCTGTGTGTCTCTGTGTGTCTGTGTGTCTGTGTGTCTGTGTGTCTGTGTGTCTGTGTGTCTGTGTGTCTGTGTGTCTGTGTGTCTGTGTGTCTGTGTCTGTGTGTCTGTGTGTCTGTGTGTCTGTGTGTCTGTGTGTCTGTGTGTCTGTGTGTCTGTCTGTGTCTCTGTGTGTGTCTCTGTGTCTCTGTGTCTCTGTGTGTCTCTGTGTGTCTCTGTGTGTCTCTGTGTGTCTCTGTGTGTCTCTGTGTGTCTCTGTGTGTCTCTGTTTGTCTCTGTGTGTCTCTGTGTCTCTGTGTGTCTCTGTGTGTCTCTGTGTGTCTCTGTGTGTCTCTGTGTGTCTCTGTGTGTCTCTGTGTGTCTCTGTGTGTCTCTGTGTGTCTCTGTGTGTCTCTGTGTGTCTCTGTGTGTCTCGGTGTGTCTCGGTGTGTCTCGGTGTGTCTCGGTGTGTCTCTGTGTGTCTCTGTGTGTCTCTGTGTGTCTCTGTGTGTCTCTGTGTGTCTCTGTGTGTCTCTGTGTGTCTCTGTGTGTCTCTGTGTGTCTCTGTGTGTCTCTGTGTGTCTCTGTGTGTCTCTGTGTGTCTCTGTGTGTCTCTGTGTGTCTGTGTGTCTCTGTGTGTCTCTGTGTGTCTCTGTGTGTCTCTGTGTGTCTCTGTGTGTCTCTGTGTGTCTCTGTGTGTCTCTGTGTGTGTCTGTGTGTGTCTGTGTGTGTCTGTGTGTGTCTGTGTGTGTCTGTGTGTGTGTCTGTGCGTGTCTGTGTGTGTCTGTGTGTCTCTGTGTGTCTCTGTGTGTCTCTGTGTGTCTCTGTGTGTCTCTGTGTGTCTCTGTGTGTGTCTGTGTGTGTCTGTGTGTGTCTGTGTGTGTCTGTGTGTGTCTGTGTGTGTCTGTGTGTGTCTGTGTGTGTCTGTGCGTGTCTGTGTGTGTCTGTGCGTGTCTGTGTGTGTCTGTGTGTGTCTGTGTGTGTCTGTGTGTGTCTGTGTGTGTCTGTGTGTGTCTGTGTGTGTCTGTGTGT